TTCGCCACTGAATCCTCACATTTGGTTTTGCTCCTAACTGCTCCCTAAAGTCGTATTAAGTGATCAGTAGGCGCTCCTTTTTTTTTTTTTTTTTTTGCCGTTTTTTTTTTTTTTTTTTTTGTGTTCCTTCTGTGTGCTTTCGGTGACGTTTCGGGGGGCCTGCATGCGGTGACCGGCGGGAATGTGTGACGACCATGCTGGTGGTAAGGTGCTTCTTGCTCTTTGCTGTTGTCGTCAGTCATTGTTAATGAAAATGTTAAGATTCTAAAAACATATTTGTTGGATTCCGTTAAGATCAACCTGTCTATATCTTTGATTATTAAAAGACACGAAGTTGCTTCTGAGGTTTATGAAAAGCTAAAGGATAAAATTCTGCCTTGTCTTTATGGTTTACCTCACCATGTCTGTAGAAGACTCTTACCTGTCTTCCATGTCTACAAAAACTTTTTTCCCCATGATAACGCATACGCTTGGTTTGTTTCACATTCAAATTTGTTTTCAGTTTTGATAAAAACACATTTCACGCTCAATTGTTTTTTCAATTTCTTTCCCCAACGTGTACATTTATTTCTTTAATATTTTTTGTTTGTTTCTTTTTGTATTGTCACAAACATGTATGTAGACTTTCAATTATATGTACTGTTTGCCTTCCAGGTGCAAACGGGAGCCCAGGCCAGGATGGAACCACCTGGGATCGGTCGTCATGGTCCGGGCAGAGGGCGGAGGCCAGCGACACGGCGGCCCAGGTGACCTATCCCAAACGTCTGGTGCAGAGGACTGAGTCGGAGCAGGAAATGGTTCACGGGCACCTGGACACCAGAGTGAAAAATAACACACAACACACCTCGGTGAGTTCGAACCCAGGATGGAGATAAGGTGTTGCACAAGTGTGCACACCCTTTTATGACTGGTTATGCGGCTTTGCACCAAATTAACAAATTCCATTCAAAGACAGGTTGAAAGGCAGTCAGGACATGCCTGCCATTTTTGAAGTGCCCTTGATTAACTTCAAATAAAGTTCTGATGTTCTAGTTGGCTTTGTTTTTTTGTTTTTGTTTTTTGCTCCCTAGCAGAAGCCTGAAGATTTTGTGCTGACACTGACTGATATTTGGTAGTCATCATAATTTGCTTGATCTTGACTAGTTCCCCAGTTGCAGCTGATGAAAAACAGCCCCAAAGCGTAATGCCGCCATGATCACGCTTCACTGTCGGTACGGTGTTGTTTTGATGACGACAAGTGTCGTTTGTGTTTGCGCCAGACATATCTCTATGAGGAATTATCGCCAAAAACCTCAACAACCTTGATTTCATCATTAGATTTTGAAGCTGTTCGATCAGGCCAGAGAGGATGTTTTTTTTTCAAGAAAGTCATTGAAATAATATTTGCTTTTGCCGGGTAGTTCAGCATTCTGCCACAGTGCAAATCATGTATGTTAGGTCAATGGAAGACTAAATTTTGTGCATGAAGTTTTCATGTGATTTTAGTTCAGAACACAGCCACATACCCGGTTGTCAGACCATGTGCACACTTGTGCAGCTCCATTATTTCAACTGTATATTTTAACATGCTTTCTCAAAAATACTTGTTTTCCAATCGAGTTACACAGCTTTAGGACGCTTTAGTGGTGGAAGACATTTTGAAATGACGTAGACGGACAGTTATGGAGACAGGGGTGGGGACTTTTAAATTGAGGCATCATGAAGAGATTGTATTCTATTCCGTCTGTTTACTGGAGCAGTGTAGATGATTTTTTTTTCGTCATCTGAGAATTATCTTTAAACACAGGCGCGCTTTTGCAAGTATGTCTGTCTTGACACATGTGGGCGTGATGGCATCAAGATGACAGCCTGTCAGTCTCCCTCTCGTTGTTCGAACAGCTCTCTGCAGCGAGGCCACTGTCCTCAACTACGCAAGGTGGCGTCTACGCAGCATACACGCGCCAGTTCTTTTTTTTTTTTTTTTTTTTTTTTTTTTTTTTTACCCATTTTTTTTTTGCGGTT